TTTATATATAGGGTTTTTTTTTTGTTTGTTTGTTTTTTTCTCTTTAAGTTATTTGTTCTGCACCTATGCCTCTTTATTTTGCATTCGAATACGTATTTGTTATACTGCCTTGTGGTTTGTATAAAGCTTTCAAAAAAAAAAAGATAGTGTTCGATAGAAAATAGTGTCAGTAGCGCCCCCTTCATTTCCGGAATGCAATAGTCCCATTTCCATATAAGGTATGGGACTGACGGAAAGGTCTGTCACCGCCCCGTTCTGCATGCTGCAGCGAAGTGTACTTGTTCTGCATGCTGCAGCGAAGTGTACTTGTTCTCGGCAGGTTTCTAAGGTTCTTCTTCTACATATTAAAACAGTTGTTAAACATCTGAGTGGTGCACTACTGCTACTAGTGGTGAGAAAGTGTATTGCACCTTATTAAAAATCAATGCAGTCCCACGGCCCTCTGCAGCCCAAAGTTAAAAACTGTTGTTCTTTTGAGGCCCTCAAGGTGGCCCATAGGTTAAGAATATATGGTTTATTTTGCCGTAGAGGAAAGTTGCTCACTCCTACTTTTACAGGGTCAGAGGTCATCTGGTAGTTGAGGATATGTGAACTCAGCACTTCTGAACTTCCTTCTTATGGATTTTTTTTATTCTATCCTGGAATGTTTTTAAGTGCAGTTGAACATGTTTCTCTGTGGTAAATGCTATACAGTTAGATTATTTAAAAATAATTTACTAATAACACATGAAACATCTTTATACTCAAAGATGAGAGCAGGAGCTGAAAGTGAGGTGGTGGCCTACTTAAACCTACAGATCTGGAAGCAGGAAGTCTTCAGGGATGAAATAATAGGGAGCAGGTGGAAGTTTTTGGCTGTTGATGATGAACTTTTGGGATTAGATTCTTTTATTTGTGTGTTTGCAGTAAAGATTTTTAGTTTTAATTAACTTCACCTTCACGTTCCAACATTTTTGCCTCCTCAACAAGCCCCACAGACCTTTGAGATCTAAAGACCTATGTTTGTCTTATATGTATGCCTCATTCTTATTCTTGACCATTCTTTCTTTTTTTGTGTGTCCCCATCTTTTTGTCCCGCAGCCTAAAACATGGAGAAGACCGACCTGGTGCAGAAAGCCAAGCTGGCAGAGCAGGCCGAGCGCTACGACGACATGGCGGCTGCCATGAAGTCTGTGACGGAGCAGGGTCTCGAGCTCAGCAACGAGGAGCGCAACCTGCTTTCTGTCGCCTATAAGAACGTGGTATGGTACCCCTCAGAATACCACCGTGTTGTGACTGTTTACTTATGTTTTAATACATTTCTTCTAAAGCTTCACTTATTAATTCATACTGATCAATGAGGTTTTTATTTTATGCTAGTTGGTACTAATTTTAAAGTTGAATGTTAATGTTTTTGTTCATAATGCATACTTCCACATGGAACTGCTGTCTTTCCAAAACAGTCCTAATTTGACATTTTTTTAAAAATGTCCTTACAAACTGGGTGTTGTTTTTATAAATGTATTTATTCACATGGAAACTGCAAAAACAACCAAAATATTGTAGTAAGTGTAGCATGCCTGTATGTGGTGCTGTAACTAGCGATGCACTGATATGAAAATTTCAGCTGATATCCGATATAATTATTGCTGTTATGGCCAATAACCTATATTTACCAATATCACACAAATTATATTATACATATACACACAAACACACTTGGGTCTTTTTTTGATACCGTAAATAAACAACCAGACCTCTGACATGGTTCTGCTTCAGTTATTCCTGGTTACACAGCGTCAATATCACTATGATGATCAAACAGATGCTGCTCAACCAACCATCTCCCAAAACACAAAGAGAAAAAGTGGGAAATCAATATCAAACATTAATATTGGCTCAGGTTTACATATCGGCAGAGTTGTAAAGTAACTAAGTACACATACTTTGTTAGTAGAATTTTTGGGTATCTGTACTTAAGTAATAATTTTTCGGTCTACTTTTTACTTCTACTCCTTACATTATTAAAAAAGACAAGAAGTAGAAAGTTGTTTTATTTCATTTTTGCTTGTTTTCATTGCAGCTTATTATAAAAAATAAAAACTATCCATATAAACTGAGCCTCCTATAGAGTGAATTTAACTGTGGTTGAATGAGAAGTATAAATATATAAAACTCTGATAGTGTATTAGTTTGTACTAGTGCAACCTAAATTTAACAAATTAACTATTTTAAAACAATATAGTAATTTCTGCAGTTTTTGGGGAGGTCACCTCCTAATAAATGTCCTTACAGAAAATCTAACTGCTCATTTTAAATCTATACTTTTAATACTTACGAACAAAAAATATCAAATACTTTTAAGACTTTTACTCAAGTAATATTCCTAAAGGAGACTTTAACTTTAAACAAAGTAATTTTTTTGGTAAGATACTTGTCCTTTTACTCAAGTATCACTTTGTGGTACTTTATACAACACTGTCTCTCACAGCTAGTTGTTTTAATGTTAAAATAAACATTTGGGTAAAATTGTCACTGATTTTAATTTTTCATTTGTTTATTGTGAAGTTGGTTTTAAATTTAATTTCAAATAGGAATAAAGTGTATTAAAGTCTTAAATGTCACTTGCCTCAAACTACAGGAAAACTGACAAACATCTGTTTTGCATAAATACCTATTATTTACTTATGCTTTGTACAAAATGATGTACTTCCCATTTTGAGGTGATTACATCCATAAAGTTTCAAAATATTTAAATAATATTTCATAGTATGCATTATTTTGATAAATCCAAAGAGACAAGTTCTCCTTTTTACCCCACTTTGTTCCAATAATGAACAAAATGAGTGTTTGAATTTATAATGATTTCATAGCTTAATGGTTTTGCTGTTTTGTCTTTTTGAAGACTAATGGAGCTCCACTCAGTGTGAATAGATGATTGATTTTTTTTAAAGCTCTTGAATCAGCACCATGTGGACGTTTGGGAGTTTTCCAGCTGAGAGGCTTTTAATTTTCCCGTAAAACCAAAAAAAAAAAAAAAAGCTCATAAGAGTGACGACATAGTTTAGTTGTTCAGCTTCTCTTATTCACCTGCCTGGGAGGTCTCTATTATTCATACCTAGTCATTATTTCTAACATACTCCCTGTTCATTAGTTGATCGTTTGCTTTTTGTGCCATCAGGAAATTCATATTTTAATTTAGTGACTTTCTTTTTTTTCCCACAAATTTACAGATTAAAACTGATTTCCTAAAACGAGGGCCTCCAGGTCAACATTGGTCAAGACATCTTAAAGGATTCAAACATGTTTGTGGCAAAATCAGCAGTTTTTTGTGGACTGACCAGTTATTTTCTTTCCCAGTTGTCCTTTAAAAGCTGGTAATGATTGAACTTTTCTGACTCTTTGAGTCATCAGTATTCTTGCTGGAGCTGAACTCCCACAAAGGTTTGGAGGACTTCAGCCGGTGCTTATTTAACTGTGAACAGATGTTGTCAGCCTAATTATGAAGCAGATAATTTAAATATTAGTTGTTGACATCAGTTGACAGATTACTTATTTTTGTCACCTTCTGGCTATTTATTGATTTTGTCAAATTTAGTGTTAGTAAGAACTATTTGATGTGGATTATAATATTGTCAAGTTTATACATAGCTGTATCTCTTTAGTTTTAATAAATAACAAATTGTTTAATTTTGAATCAGAATGTATAAACCTGGCACAAAAAAATCTGGCATTTAATTTTTTTGACCATTTTTGATAAAAAAAAAAAAACTCCCAGATTAAAACTAAATTAAGTGTTATGGATTATTTATTGTAGTTTATGCCAGGGGTTCTTAACTGACCTTGGGGCCCAATTTATTGAACATAAAGTGGCACGAGGCCCAGTCACACATTACCAATGTACGGATCAAAATGATAATTATTCAAATTCTTTGTTTAAAATGGTAATTATTCTATATCTTGGTTTAATTTTTATTGTATTTACATTATAAATAAATTAAATACACTTACATTTTAAAAGTAAAACTCCTGTCAAATAGAGACATNCTGGACTAGTGCATCCTAAATTTAACATCCATTCATTCTTTTAATACAACAGTCATTTCTGCAGTTTTTGGGGAGGTCGCCTCCTAATAAATGCCCTTACAGAAAATCTAACTGCTCATTTTAGATCATTACTTTGACTTTTAATACTTAAGTACAAAATATATTAGATACTTTAAGACTTTTACTCAAGTAATATTCCTAAAGGAGACTTTAACTTTTACCAAAGTAATCTTTTGGTAAGATACTTATACTTTTACTCAAGTATCACTTTATACAACACTGCATATCGGACCAATACCAATATTCTAAAAAAATGACCAATGTCGGCCGATACCGATATTAATGCCAATATATCATGCATCCCTAGCTGTAACCCATTATTTTATGTCTTTATCCTGGTTTCCAAAAATACATTTAGAGCTCCTAAAACACCATTTCCATATGAACAAAAGGCTGAATCAATAAAACGTACAAATTACTTTTCTCAAATGGATGAGGCCTGATTTAGTCATGTAATTTAATCACACTCATGTGGAGTTGTGTAGCTTTTTAGTAACGTTGGGTGCAGCGATCCTTTGAGAACTGAGCTTTCAGAACATTGCTGGCAGAGGAAACGATGACAGGATCAAACAAGACAAACCATGCATCACATCCAGGCTGAAATCGTGGTTTCTGCTTATGACTCATCTGCCTTTTTCACACGGGTGGTGCTGTAATTACACTGGCAGACACACCCTTTTTTAATGTCATATTCAGTCACCTGCACACGTTTTATTCTTCCTAGCTCCATGCTTTTTAAATGCTGTGTGTGCGTCGCAGTGTGAGGCGCGATGCTGTGATATTCTGATGTGCTGGCTTTTCTCTGACGCATGTGCAGCTGCCTCCTCTGCTGGCCTGAAGGTGCAGCAGTGTGGGCCACATGTCTGTCTCAGAAACCAACACAATGATCAAATAAAACCTGAGCAGCAGCTTTCAAACACAGGGCTACTGTTTGTCGTCACAACAAACCCCCATTGGTCTGGCAGTCACCTGGATTACAAAACTTATTTTTCTCTGACTTGTGTAGAAACAGGGTTCCTGCAGATCCTTAAAGTCTTAAAAGTCATTGAATTCATCAATCCAAAAATAAGGCCTTAATTAGCTTTCAGATGTCTTAAATCAGTCTTTCAGAAGTCTTAAAAGTGTTAACACGTTGTACGTAGGATGACTGTAATTCATCTCAAATATTAAAATAAATGGTAAGAATTATTTAAATATTCACATGCAAACATTCCCCTTTGACATCATTTCCTGTTATTTCACACACAAATATCTCAATATTTCATCTGAACAATGTGAAATTAGTTTTGTAATATGTTAATGTCTTTATAAAAATGCATCACTTTTTTACAAAACGCTGATGTCACAGGCACTTTAAAGTTTCATCTACAGCAAATTGGGGTTAAGACCCCACTGTGGGTCCTAAAACTCAAAAATTTGGGTTGTTAGAGGAGTTCCTGAAATTACCATATTTATTCAAGTATAATACGTAAAATTAAACCCATAAAATCATCCATAAAGTTGGAGGGTAGAATTATGCTCGGGTAAATTATGTATTGAAATATCGGCTTCATTCAGTCCGGAAATGAGACCACGTTGAAAAAAGCAGTTGAAAGGAGTTCACCTCTGACACTCCTCCGTGATTCAGAGCGAGATAATAACAGATCCAAGCAGGCGACATGATGTGGGGAAAAAAGGGGGGAAAAGCAGTCCTGCACCTTAGTAATAACAAACTAATGACATTAGTGTGTGACCGAGCCGCTCCTCGAACAACAACAAACACATGTTCGTCTGTAATGGCTGCCGTCTACCGGTGTTCTGAAAAAGTTTGTATCCCTGGAAAAAAAAGGTTTCCCCACCAGAGGGGGCGCTCGTGACTAGGAAGTAATCTGCTTTTCCCCCACAAGATGGTCCAAATCTCATGTGAAGTCTCTGACTTTTGTGTTGGCGCCTCCTGGTGGACTATGTGTAAAATGCCAGAATTCATATGATGCTGCTACAGCTGATTCAAAATACCTTTTAGTACATATGTTGTTAAAATAAAATAAGACTGCAAAGGCTGAAAAATCTTCAAGTCTGGATGAGATTGGAGGTAGTTTGAGGATTAAATTTTTTATACTTTTTAAGCTCAAAAAAAGCTAGGTCGTGTTATACATGAGATCGTATTATACACGAATAAATACAATAATTTAAGTTTAAATCTGACTGCTAAGGTTTGTGCTATACAGGGTTCCCACTAGTCCTTGAAATCCTTGAAAGTTTGTGAATTAGAAAAAAATTATTTCAAGGCTCTGAAAAGTTTGTGAAAACAGCCTAAAATTACATTTGTCCTTGAAAATCCTTCAATGATTTTTGAGGATTGAAATTCTCTATTCACACAACTGATTTTCATCATCTTTTAAAAGAATTATTATAAAATTAAATAAAAAAACAGATTGGTTGTGGTGGATAACTCAGGATTACAGTAAACTGACATCATTGTTTCTGATTCAACAACTTCTATGTTCAGTTTTTCATTGAATTTACATGTTAAACCTGTTTATTGGTAGCATTCTGCGGTAGCAGTAGGTAATTGTGGTCGCGCGTGGTTCTTTAATTCGAGGAAATTGGTACTGGAAAGTTCTTGAAAGGTCCTTGAATTTGATGTTGACCGAGGTGTGGGAACCCTGGCTATAGTTCGATATGGATAAAAACTGGTCTATTAGCAATATTTGAATACTTAAACCGAAAATACTTTGATTCATGAGTTTCTGCCACAGTTTTTATTATTTTTTATCATTTGTGTTTTATTATGAAGTTGGTCTTCAATTTAATTTCACTTGGCATTAAAAAGTGTTAAATTTAACTTGCTTTAAACTGTAGGAACCCTGAGAAAAGTGTTTATTTTTTGTATGACCTGTTTGTTCTGGAACAGCTGCTGAGATTTACAGGAGGAGTGTTTACTGTGCAGGCTGGATGCAACAAGACAGAACGAGCCGTCTGGATTATTTTTGAGTTTTTCCAGTCGGTCCTTTTGAAGCCCATATTATGTAAGAGAGACTCAGATTTTCCTGCTCTGCTGCTGTTTATCACAGAAGTGTCACTCTGTACTTTATGATGCTGCAGTCTGTGACTGGAAGTCTCTTTCCTGAAATAATAAAAACCCATTTTCACCTCTGCCAGGTAATACTGGTTTAAATCTCAAAGGTAGAAGAAAACCCACACAAATCATCCTCAAGTGTTTTAGTTGAGACTGTTTCCACTTCAGTCTGATCCTTTTTTTTAAAGTATGCATATATTTTACCTCCTGTCTTCAGGTGGGCGCTCGCCGTTCGTCCTGGCGTGTCACCTCCAGCATCGAGCAGAAGACGGAGGGCAACGAGAAGAAACAGCAGATGGCCCGTGAATACCGCGTGAAGATCGAGTCTGAACTCGAAGAAATCTGCAACGACGTGCTGGTACGGACACGAGCGGTGACGGGTGGGCAGGGAGCGGGAGGGGAGGGGAGGGGCCCACGTGACTGCGTTTGTACAAACGGGAACGGTGTCGAGCCGGTTTTAATTTTCCTCTCAGGTTTTCACTTTTCCGATTCGTGTTTTTCTTTCTTTTATTTCTTTATTTGTCTGCGAGACGAAATAATGTACGAGTGGTGGGATGACATGCTGTGAAACCTCCCTGCACCCCCAGGGCATAGGTGGGCTTCTGTATAATTAAAATCATGGATTTGTGTGGGTGTCCTGCTACAGGTGCACACAGAGCCTGAGCTGGAGTAAATCACTGTTGCACTTTTAAGAATTGCTTCCATGCTTGTAGATTTTTTTTAATTATAGCTGCATTATGATGCTAAACATTAAGTTCAATTAATGACTTAGATCAGGGCTGTCAAACTCATTTTCACCGAGGGTCACATGAGCGTTCTGGAGGCCCTCAAAGGGCCAGTTGTAATTACTGTTTTATGTTTAACTTTGACTAAACAGCATTTTAACTCTTCCTCTTATAAATACTGAAAAGTACTACATGTACAACTGACTAAATCTGAAGTAACTAATAGAGTAATACTATTAAAGAGACCAAATTATGTGTTTCTCAGGCATATATTTAAATGCTATACCATAATAAAGTATCTATGTCACCTTTAGCTGTTATTAAAATGCTGTTTTTATGTTTAAATAGAAAATAAACTTATCTTCTCATCACTTCCTCTTCTAAACGCCTTGAAATTGGCCTCTGTCTCTTTAAGAACCACCTTCCGCTTCTGTCTCTCCCATTTCAGTGTGGGTGGGGGGCTGCCATGATTCAGTTTACTTGGCCTCTGAAAGTACATTTCCTCAAAGGTGTTTTTTAATCTGAAAAGAGCTTCACTGAGTGAGAACTAATGTTGAGAGCTCAGCAGACAGTTAGGTTTCACTTTCACCTGAAAGCCTGCAGGAGACATGGGCGGGGTGTGTGGAGAGGGGGTGTGCTCTGCCATGAGGCAGCTCGGCTTAAAGACACGTCCCAGGGGTGTTTCTGGTCCCCACCTGTTGTTTTGCTCCTCAGCATGGCTTCATAAAAACACTGCAGGATTTCTCAAACATGATGAATGAGTCAGAGCAAGACTTTGGACATGTTTTTATAAGAGTATAACATTATAACATGATATAAAACTCAAAAAAGTTGATTTTACATGATATTGCCCCTTTCAAAATAAAAGAGTGAGTAGCTGCCATGTTGACTTCTGAACTCTCCCACTTTCTGACACAGATGCATTATGGGAGGTGTAGTTTATGGTCGATGCTGACTTTAAAGCAGCTTATTAAGACATTATTACCGTCCTGTCTAACTAAATTGTTTAGTTACTTAAAGCCAACATCTCTGGGGAGGACAAGTATTATCTTTCACCTTTTTAAATTTATTTTGTTGTATTTAATCATAAATTTAAAGTTTATCATTATAAGATGGGGTTCTCAAACCGAGGCTACAGGACCACCAGGGGTCTGCAAGAGGTATCTTGATGGTCCTCAAAAAATGTCACTAAATTAATTTGGTTTTTCATTTTTAAAAATGGAGAACAATGAACTAATAAAACAAACGTTTCGGGGTTGAAATGACAAATTATCTTTTAAAACAGCACGGGGTTGATGAGGGGGTCCCTGAGGTTTTTTCGCTCTTGTAAGGGGTCCCCAGACCCAAATGGTTTGAGAACCCCTGATATAAGAAACAATATCTTTAGTAAAAAAAAAATTTTTTTTGGCGGGGCAGGCGGGAAACACCCGTGGGCCACATTTGACCCACGGGCCTTCAGTTTGACAAGTGTGACGTGGATGTTGGCCTACGTGTTGACTTGCAGCTACAACCACGTCAGTTTGTTGCTCAGTATTGCTCAGTAAACTCCATTCAGTGGGATATTTTGCTAACACACACCCACACAGGCTTCTTAAAGATGAGGTGTAGTTTTATGAAACGCTGCTGCCGCCTGGCCTTTAGTTCCAGGATTAAAGTGCGTGAACCTGCTGTGACTCCGCCGCTCCAACGCGAGCCTTTAAAGACTTGTGAAACATGCTCCCCTGCTCTTTTTTAAATTTATTTTCTTTTAAACACGATGGACGTGCTCTCTCCACCAGCAGCTGCCTCTCTCACCCACGTGTCCCGGCGAGAGGAGAGGACAGAATTTGCTCAAGGTCAGGCTAGACTCGGAGTTTTTCGGCGCGTGAGCACACGTCTAATAATATCTTCAAGGTCAGAGCGTCTTCAAGCCTCAGTGGTGATGTGGTGCTGCAGGAATGAAGGAGGAGAGGATGGGTGGAGACACGCTGTCCTTAAAGAAGCAGCAGGAGGGGGAGGGAGGCTCCATGCAGCCACGTGACACATGGAGCTTCAACAAAGGAGCCTACAAATCCTAAATAATTGACTTTATTTAGTCATTGCCTGAGGTCTGAATGTAAGGAGTCAGATGTGATCACATGATCTGGATGAAACCCTGTGTGAGCTCTGCAGTGGCAGCAAGAAGAACCTGCAGACTGCACGTTCCCCTTTCTGCAAACGTCTTCTTACACCTTTTTCATTCAGTAAATTCTGCATCCGACACTTGATGATTGATGGTTCAAAACCAGCCGTCCTGCATTTAAAACAGGGATCCTGCAGATCCTTAAAAAGTCTTAAAAGTCATTGAATTCATCGATCCAAAAATAAGGCCTTAATTAGCCTTAAAATGTCTTAAATCAATCTTTCAGACGTCTTAAAAATGTTACCACATTGTAAATAGGATGACTGTGATGCATCTCGTATAATAAAATAATTGGTAACATTAATTTTTTTAAATATTCACATGCAGACATTCCCCTGTGACATCACTTCCTGTTATTTCACACGCAAATATCTCAACAACTGTCCGTGTGAGCAATGTGAAATTTGTTTTGTAATTTGTAAATAATGTCTTTCCAAAAAAGCGATAACTTTTCTTACAAATGCTGATGTCACAGGCACTTCAAGTTTTCATCTACAGCAAATTGGGATTAAGACCCCACTGTGGGTCCTAAAACTACAAATTTTGGGTCGTTAAACTGACTAAGAATGTTTTAGCTATATTTAATAAAAAAAAAAATACAGTTCGATATGGATTAAAACAATTGTTCTATTAGCAAAATTTTTGTCATTTGTTTCTTATGAAATTGGTCTTAAATTTAATTTCACTTGACATTAAAAAGTTTTAAATTTAACTTGCTTTAAACTGTAGGAACCTGTAAAAACCCTGCTGTCTGTCTGTTTCAGAGCCTGCTCGACAAATTCCTCATTCCCAACGCGTCTCAGGCAGAGAGCAAGGTGTTCTACCTCAAAATGAAAGGAGACTACTTCAGATACCTGTCGGAGGTGGCCACCGGCGACAAGAAGAAGGGTGAGTGTTGAAAACTGGTTTAAAAACCTGCGATGTTTCAGGTTGACTTACAGAAGATAAAATGAGATTTTAAGAAAATGCTTCCTCAGCATCTTTTCCTCGTCGCTCCAACCTGTGATTTAATGTAAATAAGAGTAGAGATCGACCGATACAGGTTTCTGAAGACCGATACCGGTTTTTTTTTTTTTTTTGTTTGTTTTTTTTTTATGACATCAGTCTAACCGATACGCCGATACGTGCAGCCGATATTTTTTGGCCGATTCTTGAAGCTGATACCGCTTTTTCTTCCTCCATTAACATGATCAAAATAAGAATGATATGATAACAAATGTTACACGGGTCTCAGTTTAAAACAAAACAAACAAAAACATTTATTAGGGTTCCCACAGGTCCTTGAAATCCTTGAAAGTTTGTGAATTTGAAAAAAAATATTTGAAGGCCCTGGAAAGGTTGTGAAAACAGCCAAAACTTACACTTGTCCTTGAAAGTCCTTGAATGTTTTTTTGGGGATTGAAATTCTCTACGACTGATTTTCATCATCTTAAAAAAAAATTGAAGTGAAACGTAAACACAGCTGTTCTCTCTCCCCTCATGCTCCGACACAGAGGGCAGAAACAGCTAAATTAAAGAGTTAAAACACGTTAAAAGTTCATAACTCACCCTTGTTGTTGTTGTTGTTGTTGTTGCACTCTGTCTCACAACATTAGCTGCTGCTCTCTCCCCGAGGGAGGGGGCAACAACATGTGCTCGTGTGACCCAAAGAACGGATCGGCTGAATGGACGGACATATCGACCGATACAAGGAAAAAAGGCAAATATCGGCCAAAAATATCGTCCGGCCGATGTATCGGTCGACCCCTAAATAAGAATCGAGTTTCTGAGGAAAAACCTGAGAATTAAAGCCTCTAAAACCACGTGGAAGTGTTTTAGATCAGTGCTCTGTCACAGTGATGGCACCAGAGCTTTAATTAACCCAGATAAACCTTTCACGCATCAGTTAGAATGTTTTTTTAAATGTTGAACCATAGAAAAGTTTAATAACATGAGGAGATTTAACTGAGTCCCTGAGGAAACATTCATAAAAACAGCTCCACTGCAGAAATGATGGATCCATCTCGTTTTACTGAAGCTTCTGCCGCCTCACTCAGTGTTGCCAGGAGACGTTACAGACGGCCACTGTTGCCAAGGTTATCAGTCATCTCATCGCCATGGTGACCGGATGATGCACTCGCTCCGAGCGAAGTTGTGAGCAGTGCTGCAGAGAGAGGCAGGAAAGGAATTATGGGAAATCTAACCTGTCCACTGGAATCCACGGATATTTAAACAAACATCATCAGATCCAAACAAACATATAAGCATTTAGTTTTGTCTAAGTTTGACCCAAACTTCAAATTTAAACTAAAATGATGTTTGCTGAAAGCTAACGCTAAAAGCTAAAGCCTAATGCAAGTTCAAAGGAAATGTGAAAGAAGCATAAAATTCTTACGTTTGCAGAAAGAAGTTGATAGAAGCACAGAAAAGAAGCAATTAGCTGAAAGGAGCAGAATTACAGCTGAAATAGCAGAAAAAAGCTACAGTTAGCATAAAAATAAGCTAAAGCTAGCAGCCACGAGTTGAAGTTAGCACCCAGAAGGTGAAAGTGATTTAGATTTCTTTTTCTTAATTATAATGTAAAAGATTAATTGTTACTCATTTCATTATGTAACTTTTGATTTATAAAATAATATTAACTTGTAGTTAAAGTATAAATCAAAGATATAAATAACATTATTCACATTTTGTTCATTAAAGAAAATAAAATGTCTCTTTTGAGAAAGGTCTTTTTAAACCAGAGTCAAAGACAAGTGGAAATGTTTATTTCCCCTTTGGTGAACCTTACAGATTTAAATTTAAAATTAACAGAAAGAAAGCATAAAAGTACAAAAAATGATCATTTGTAAAACAGCTAAAACAGCCGCAGTTTGCAGTAAAACAGCTAAAATGTAGCTGGAAGTTTAATTAGAATTAGACTAAGTTCGATGAACTTCGCAGAAACAAGTTGTATAATGGCTACCAAAATATGTATTTAGCTCAAAAAAGCTAACTTTAGCTAATAACAGCAAAACATTAGCTAAAATTGCAGCAAATAGCTGCATGTAGCAGATAGAAGCACAGAAAAGTAGAAAATACAAAATGTGGATTTCTAGCTGTAATAGCATAAAAAAGCTAAAATTAGCAAAAGAAAGTAGCTAAAATTAGCACAAGGCAGTTAAAAGAGCAGAACAAAAACAAAAGGTTCTGTAAAGGTTTAGAAACGTTTTGAAGAATAATGAGGATGTTGAAAACAGCTCCATTTATTTTCAATGGACTATTACCTATACCGCCATCCTTGCCTAGCGCAAAGCATCATGGTCCAGTTTGGGGCCATCCGGTGCCGGTGTGTGAATTAAATGACTGAAAACGGGCGGTGTGCTGTGTTTTACCTGTGCAATAATGATCACAGATACATGACAACAAGTTTATTTATTTAGAATAATGAAAACACACGATTGTCACCATTCGGTCTAGTAGATCTTTGTTGACGTGTCCTGACTACAGATCATTTTGACCACTTAATATTACAAATATAGGTATGGACTATCTAAAAAACTTGACCACATAATGGTGTACAGTTTATTTAACAATAATATACACAATACAGAAAGCTACAGATCACAATAACAAATGCATTTACCACTGTTAAAACAAAAATACGTGTATATAATTACTACATCATATTAAGAGTGAAAATATTTCACAGCATTATAACCTTACCTCTATTTTGCATTTCCAGGTTGCTATTTTAGGCAATAATCCCAACATTTGAGCAGGTAAACGTTGTGCACGAGTTTCTTTTTTATTAGAAGGTGGTTCCTCACGAACCAAATTAAACATTTTAAAATGCGTAACAGTCCAAACTTTAAACTTTTATAACCTGTTCCATCATTTACTTTTCTTTTGTTTGTCCCCAAACAATCCCACAAACCACTGCGCGCCGCCTCCGGTGGGCGGAGCTAAACGTATCTGCGAAATAGTCCGTGGGAAAAATGTGGCTGAAAAAGTTTAAGTAGCTGAAATGTCCTGAAGATGAACGTTTTGAGAAATGATTTGTTGAAATGGCACAAAAATTGCAGAAAGTGCCGAAATAAAAGCTGATCTGAATTGTGTGAATGATTGTGAACCGATGACATCACCACACAGCTTTTCATTATTGTTGCATTTCTTCATTTATTTGATTCACAATATTTAATATTTAATGTTTTATTATTGAAAATGTCCGTTTTATTCACACAACTCTGAACAAAATGTTTTTCTTGTCATTTTCTCTTCATAACATTAACTTCAGTAAAGTTCGTTCAGCGAAGTGTAAACTCTGAAGCTAATGTGTTCTTGTCTCTACCTGTCTCTGCTCGTCCAGGTGACACGTCCAGCATTTATTAGGGCGTGGTTCTCATTCATTTCACTCTACAGCACTTCAGTTTGCTTGTTTCAGTCAAAATTAATGGTTTTTCATTTCTATATTTCAAATTCATGAAGACACAACCTTTAGTTTATAAGTTTCCAACTTCTAAAGAATCCTGGGATTTTGCGGCCCTGGATGTATTTAAAGAATCACAGTTAACTGTTTTTAGTCGAGCTTGATTTGGATGAAATGTGTTGTTAATGTTGTGTTAAAGTTGTGTTGATTCAGAGAGTCTGTCCCGCAGCGACACACAGTGACTCTGGGACTTGTTGTGTCTTTACAGAGACGGTAGAGCACTCTCAGCAGGCCTACCAGGACGCCTTCGACATCAGCAAGAAGGACATGCAGCCGACACACCCCATCCGGCTGGGCCTGGCCCTCAACTTCTCTGTCTTCTTCTACGAAATCCTCAACTCACCTGAGCAGGCCTGCTCTCTGGCCAAGCAGGTGTGTGCAAGAAAAACAACTAAACTAAGATTATTAAAGGGATCCAGGATTAGTTGTAACATTAGACTTTATTTGATAAACATGTATTTTAACTGTAAAATAAAGACTGTAAAAATACTTTTTAAAAATATATTTTTACA